AAAAAAAAAAAAAAAAAAAAAAAAAAAAAAAAAAAAAAAAAAAACCAACAATAAATTAATGAAACAAAAACAGCATAGTATTTAATCTATCAAAAAGTGTTTGCTTCAATATAAAAATACAGAAAATAAAAACTAAATTATTAAATGATATTTACCTTAAACTCTTGTGTGACTGGGTCTATAGGGTATTCAATCATATATGGATGATTGCAGCACTTACGAAGCAGCATCATTATATTCTGCAGCTTCAGATTAACTTCAGATTCTATAGGGGTATTATCAGCCACAATACTCCTACCAAAAACACAGCATATAAGTATGACAAAGGTAAAAAAATACAATTTAAATACCTAAATTTGTCTTTAAACACTTACCTTTCTCTGTTTACATCTGGCTGTATCTGACTTATTAGTTTTTCTAATTCACTAGGAAATTCATCTGTTTCCCTGTAATTTATTAATTTTCTACTTCGCCGTTTTGGTCTTCCAGTAGGACTTAGCTCAATTGTTTCCTTCTAAAGAGAATACATAAAAAGGCACCTATTTAAAAACTGCTGAAGCTCTAAATATGAATAAAGTATGTTTTTATGTATACCTAATAATCATACACCCCATTGCAACTTTTACTACGGTATATGTTCTATGGAAATTTCAAATACTCTCAAATCCTCTTGGTTACTGACACCTCTTTAGAAAAGGAAAAACAGTTGAAGGGAGTTCGCCTAGTCAATAAGCCTTGGTTGGTAGGATATTGAAGGATAATTGTGGTCAATGTACATGATATACTTGAATGAAAATGTCCTTATAAAGCCCATTACTGCATATAATAAATATGTCTCTCCAAGAACATTCTCTAGATGATTAGTCTGACTTTGTCATCAAACCCACGCTGCTGCACATATAGATATGCACATTTTAAACAAGTACTTCCAATGATCACAAAACAAACAAAACACAGATGATCACTTAAGTGTAGGAGGACTGTAGATAACATAAAGTACCTTCTACTTTGAGCCTATTGACCCACAAAGTCCTGAAAATAGGTGAGGAGACAAAAAAAAACTGAAATCAGTCATGAAATTAAGTCACCTCATTTACAGTTACTTCAAAACAACTATTACCTCACAAGATCCAAACATGTTTGCAATTGTGCGGTTCACAATAGCTTTATAGAAGATCTCTTGCTTGTTAGAAAGTGGTGCATAAACAACTACTTCTCGCTTAGGAGGAACTTCAAGAGCAACATCAGACTTCAGTCTTCTCAGTAGAAATGGGGTTAAAATCTAAAATTTAAATATAAACAAATAAGTGAGCATTAATTATTGTTGTTCCCCACACCAGAACACTGAGCTAACATAAACCCTTTCGTTCTCTTGAATATCTCCTTGAGATTTCCTCATACTAGACTAGCACTTGATAACTTATAAACACATATATACTCAAAGACACCATTACAAGTTTACACAAATAGTTGACTATGGTTGCTCATGCCTTAAATCTAGCACTCCAGTGGCAGAAGCAGATAGATTATGAGTCAGATGCCAACCTGATCTACAGAAAAACCTTGTCTCAGGGAGGAGAAAAAAAAGTTCATACAAATATATGTAGAGAAAAAATAATTGCAACATATATGCCAGTAAGTTACTTGTAGCATACATTAGAAACCATTGTTGAGAAATGGGTTTTAAAATATATAATTTACAAAATAACTATAAGAAATCCAGACATCTGAGTATCTTTGGTATGGTAATGAGATTAATCCCAGGTTTATATAAATTCCTTTCAACTCTGATTTTATTGTTATATATACAAAACCAATTAGTTTAAATTAATTTTTTCAATTTAATTTTGGCAGATATATAAATTCTTCCTGGAGAACAACTGCCTGTTTTTACAGAGCCTATGTAATACAGTGGGGAAATGGCTCAATGGTAGAACATTTGTCTGGGACACACTACCAAACTAAAGGTGACAGGTGATATAAAATTTAGACCAAAGAGTCGGTTTGTAAAGACAAGCCCTTTAACCCAGAAATCTCTTCTATGAAAACAGGAAACAGGAAGAGATTTAAGAACAGATATTTTAAGCTAATTTACAATACAGGAAAAATATTGATATAAAAACTATATATAATTATAGAGGGGCAGGACAACCTGATATTAAAGCACAATTAAAATCCAATGTGTCTGCCCAACACTCAAGAAAAAAACAAGAAGGACTTATATAACATCCATCAAAACAAAGTGAGGCCAGCCATGGCTACATAACAAGATCCTGTCTTTAAATAAAATCAATAAGAGATAAAATATAATGTGCCCAATATTCACACAGGAAAAACTTTAATCTCTTTTAAAGCATAGTAAAAATAACTTCTGTAATGAAAAACTGTTTAATTCACAAAATATACCTACACAAATGCATATACAGTTGACAGGGGTATGGAAGGACAAACAACACAATAAACATAGGCAGGTAAGGATGAGGACTTGGAAAGGATTGTTTTTATTTTCTACTGTTTCACCTTTTTTTAATGAGCATCAATAGAAAAATTAAAAAATTGAATAAAATTGTCAGAGCACAATCAAAATGCTTCAAAAGCCTATGAGATCTTTGAAAGTTTGTCTAAGGTAAACATAGGTATGATGGATGGTAGAATGGAATAAGACTTTCAGGAAGCATGAAACATAAGTGGATTAGACAATAACGATGAAAGGAAATAAACCACATAAACATTATTGGCAAACATTGCATGAACCTACAAGTTTTTAATTGTCTAGCTGATAAATAAAATGGTAAACCAAAAAATGTAAATGAAGATGTATCAAAATTTAGCTGATTATTTGAGTTTCTGCCATAAATCTATATGACAAGTCAAATTAGGGGAAAGAAATTAAATTTAAGGTGACTCATTGTTCAAGTCTCTACTACAGGGGTTAAGACCCTAGAATTACTTATTTTTTGAGTATGAAGTGAGCAGAATAAGGAGGTTCGGCACCTGGTGAAGCATATGTAAAACGTTCTGTTCTCGCTCTTTAGCTATAATATCTTCAGCAGTTTCAGAAAGGCTAGTGATGTCAAACCAAGACTCAAAGCTAGAAAAAAAAATGATTACAAGTTAACCTAACACATGAATTCAATTATATTTACATGATACATATATAGTTCCATATTTTTAATTAATTAATATTTATTTTTTTTTGCTTTTTGTTTTGTGTGTATATGTATGTGTTTGTTTTGAGATACACAGGGTCTAATTTAGCCCAGGCTGAACTTAAATTCACTATTTTGCCAATTTTGACCATGAACTTCTGGTCTTCTTTAACTCCCCTGTCCCCAAATGTTGATATTTATTTTATTTTTGGTTTTTCGAGATAGGGTTTCTCTGTGTAACAACAGCCCTGGCTGTCCTGGACCTCACTTTGTAGACTAAGCTGGCCTCAAACTCATAGAGATCCACCTGCTTCTGTCTCCTGATTGCTGGGACTAAAAGTGTTCACCACCACACCCAGCTTCCAAAAGCTGGTATTATGGGCATATGCCAACTATACACAGCATCAATTTCATATTGGCTTGTGTATTAAAGGCAATTTTTAAAATTCAATTAAATCTTTATTCCATGAGAATTGTTCTGAAATCTAAAAGGGGACATTTTTTCTAAAAAAGATAATCATATACAAGTGAAATACAAATTATAGAATGAAAAGTTTCTTGTTCATTTGCTTTTGTCCTGATAAGAACAGAAACCAGGGCTTCAAGTATGCTAAACAAAACTTTTTCACTGAGCTACATCTCCAGTCCAAAGCACTTATTTTATGAAAACATTCAAGAATAGTTATATAAGTGATGATGCTCTTTTTGAAAACCAAATCTGAATGGTATCTCTGTACAGGTATAAATCTAACATATGGCTGTTGTTACACATACATGTTAGGAGTAGGTGTGATGCTAAGACTGGAACAGAGGACTTTCCATACCAACAACTTATATCCTAAGCCCTTGGGTTTTGGCTACCTAGCTTAGACCGGCTTTGAACTCTCAATCCTCCTTCCTCAGAAAAGAAATAGCAGGAATGCACTACCACACGTAGTTCAAAGTTTTTAAGTTCAATATAACTATAATATTAAGCTGAAAAGGGGATTCGTTCTTCCACATGTTAAGAAGGAAGGGAGGAAATAGTTTAAAGAATGTAAATATTCATATAGTAGACCACGTATTCTCAAATATAGACAACTCGATGTATGGTTTTAAAATTAAGATTTTCGGGGGCTGGAGTGATGGCTCAGTGGTTAAGAGCATTGCTTGCTCTTCCAAAGGTCCTGAGTTCAATTCCCAGCAACCACATGGTGGCTCACAACCATCTGTAATGGGGTCTGGTGCCCTCTTCTAGCCTGCAGACATACACACAGACAGAATATTGTATACATGATAAATAAATATTTAAAAAAATAAATAAATAAAATTAAGATTTTCAATTAGCACCTTGAAACTAATTCACAGATCTCTTAAATTTATCATTTAAAAAAATGTTTGCATAGTTACAATAAGAGCTTGGCATTATGTCAGAGTTGAACAATCAAACTTAAAATGCATTCTCAAGATAAAACACCAGATTTCTCATATTCAATTAGCTTTCTTCCCTCACTAATCCAACATAAATATAATTCAATTATTTTGTCTGGTGTGGAAAGTCCCTTGTATGTTGTGTGTTGCTTTTATTGGTTAATGAATAAAGAAATGTGTTGGCCTGTGATAGGGCAGAGTAGAGGGAGGCAGTTTCTGTGTGATTATTTTGAGTCTGGACAGCCAGGAACAAGCAGCTTCCAACAAACAAACAGCTTCCTACGACATTTTGTCCTCAATCTTTTTGCTTTATTTCACATTGCCTTTTCTTACTAATAGAATCTTTTTCTAATCTGAAGATAATTCTCTGGAAACTTTTGGAAAATATAATTTGAAATTCAAATATACCAACAAAAATATTAGGTTGAAACTGGGAATTTCAAAGTTTTCTCTGGTGCCAACTAGTCATATTTTTTAACAACTTCTAACCAGGCTTCCTTATATGAAATAAAGAACACAGCTAAACTCTTCATTTGACTGAGCTATCCTGTAAAATATCCATATGAAATGAAAGCATTTTAGAATTAAAAAGCTCATGTTTAACTATTATTTTTATTAGGAAAAACATTTTAAAGTATTGTAAAATTATTTATTTGTGGAAGGGTTGTACACATGTGCCACAACACAGGAAGGGAGACAGAAAAGCAAACATGCAAAAGTCACTGACTGCCTGGTACAGGCTTTCAGAACTGAATTCGGGCCTTCAGATTTAGTGGCCTTCACTTGCTGAGCCATCTTCGCAGTCCCTTAGGGATTGTTTTGTTTCCCTTTAATCAACCTGAATGTTTTAAATCTTTATCTTCTCTCATATATATTCTATCAAAAGGAGAAAGCATATTGTAGAATACAAATTGGCTAAAATATCATTTAAATTCAGCTACCAAAAAGAAAGGAATCAGTTTCAGCTAAGAACACAGATTTTTAAGGTCAAAAACCAAACAAACAAAAAACAGAAAACGAGTAACTACCTTACTTACCTTTTCAAGTCATCAAATACATCTGGTAACAAAAAGTTTAGCAACGACCAAAGTTCTGATAAATTGTTTTGCAAGGGAGTACCAGTCAAAAGAAGTTTGTTATCAGCATTGAACCGTTTTAACTCCCTGATTAGCCGGCACTTCATATTCTTAATCCTGTGTCCTTCATCTACTATTAAGTATTTCCAATAGCAATGCTAGAAAATGAATCGAGGAAAGAAATTTTAAGAATCAATCTCATAATTTTTTCTCAAAACACTTCTAAACATAAGACTTCTTTTAAGGGACATTTATTGAACTCCATCAAATGTCATTTTACCATATATTGGGATTATTCTTTTCTCCTGCTGTCATAATGATAATAATAAATTCATAAACCCAGCGCCAATTATGTTCCTTCACTGGAAACCCCCTGATATCACTTGTTAATATTTTTATTCATTCTGAAATCAAAATCATGTTTAGCTTTCCCCTTGGTGCTTTGCCATGTGACATTAGAGTCCTGAAAAACTGGTATTAAAATATTAATAGATTAATGAAAGAAAAAAGAAACCTATCGTTAGTTATATGTACTCCAAAATATGGTTTCATTACTTATTTATTTTTTACTTTTTATTTATTTTGTTTAATTGGGATATCTCTATGTATTCCTAGCTAGCCTGGATCTCAGAGATGACCTGTTTATGTGTATGCCTCCTGAGTGGCTAGTATTAAAGGTGTAAAACACCAGACCAGCTTGCTCCAAAATCTCAAAGCAGTTTTGAAACTTTCATTTTGAGATCTACATATAAGACTGATAATCTTTTTTTTTTTTTTTAAACCACTAAGAGATGGCTTAGTGGTTAAAAGCACTTGTTGCAGCCAAGTGGTGGTGAAACACACCTGCCTTTAATCCCAGCTTTCCGGAGGCACAGGAATGAGGATCTGTGAGTTCAAGACCAGCCTGGTCTACAGAATGAGTTCCAGGACAGCCAGGGATATACAGAGACATCGTCTTGAACCCCCCCCCTCAAAAAAAAGCCAGACGGTGGTGGTGCATGCCTTTAATATCAGCACTCAAGAGGCAGAGGCAGGTGGGTCTTTCTGAGTTCAAGACCAGCCTGGTCTACAGAGTGAGTGCCAGGACAGCTCCAAAGCTACACAGACAGCTCCAAAGCTACACAGAGAAACCCAGTCTCAAAAAATAGAAAAAGAAAAGAAAGAAAAACAAGTAAAACAACAACAACAAAAAAAAACACTTGTTACTCTGCCAGAGGATCTGGGTTGTGCACCCACACTGAGGCTCACCATCTGTTACCCAAAACTTAGGGGATTCAATGATCTCTTCTGACCTCAGAGGGCACCAGGTACACATACATTCAGGCATAACACCCATCACATCAAATAAAAAAAACTTTTTTGTCTTCAAGAAAGATTAGCAACTTGGATAAAAAAAATATGAAATGAGGTACATTTAAACTTTATACAGTTAATTCCCAACAGAATTAAAAAAAAAAAAAAGTATTACCACTTTTTAAATATAACAACTAAAGGGGCTCACTTTTCTGGTAACATAAAAAGCCAAATAATCTGAATAATCTCCCACTACAAAACTTGTATTTAAAAGTGCAACATAGGGGCTGGAGAGATGGCTCAGTGGTTAAGAGCATTGCCTGCTCTTCCAAAGGTCCTGAGTTCAATTCCCAGCAACCACATGGTGGCTCACAACCATCTGGAATGAGGTCTGGTGCCCTCTTCTGGCCTGCAGACATACACACAGACAGAATATTGTATACATAATAAATAAATAAATATTAAAAATAAATAAATGAAAGTGCAACATAAAACACAAAACATGAACTAAGTGAAAGACAAGAGAAAAACCAAAAAGGGAAATGAGATGAAACCTACTAGTAAGTAAGCACTGATATCTTTGCAGCCATCAACACCAACCTCAGTTCTACTACCAACAAAAGCTAAAACCTTAGCAACAGTTCAGTGGCTCAGTGGGAAAGAAAGACTTTCACAACTAGCAATAGGAACTGACAAGGAAGCTTCACTGTCAATATAGGCAAGGTGAAGAAGAAATAAATCATGAGTCTTCAGGTTACATATTTAAGTAAGAATCAAGTTACAAAGGAGAATGAATGTATGGTCTGATTTATGTATAAATTATATCTGTTACCTCAATAGTAGTTACTTAGGTCGAAGAATTCTCATTTAGAATTACAAGCACTCCATATTACTTGAAGTAAGCTCTCACTATGTAGTGCTGGCCTGGAACTAGCTATGTGGATCAGGTTGGCATACCTATGCCTGCCAAGCACAGGGATTAAAGGAATGCACCACCACGCCTACCCATACGTTAGTTTCTTATATAAATATGTTTACTATAAAGAAATAGCTTTTAGAATTTGTGTGTGTATGTGTGTGTCCCCTTGAAGATAGGGTGTAACTCTGTGATGCAGGCTAGTCGCAAGTCAAAGTAATCCTCTTGCCTCTGCATTATGAGTACTGATATTACAGTCATGACACAAGATGCTATTGTACACATTTTTATAACTATAGAGCTATGGCTACTGCCAAATCACATTCAACAATATCACACACAAAAATGGAACATTTGATAAACACTGTCTGTGGGTATGTTAGCTATTACTACTCCTCTATGAGCTCTGTGTTTTGATGTCATATTTTAGCCACTATCTATGCTACTTTCTTTGCTTCATGTAAAAAAAAAAAAAAAAGCTAAGGATTTGGGCAGTGGTGGCACATGCCTTTAATCTCAGCATGCTGGAGGCAGACGTTAGTTAATCTTTGCATTTGAGGCCAGCTACAGCTGTACAGTGACTTTTAGAACAGCTAGGGACATGAAGAAGCCCCATCTTTAAAAAAATAAAAAAACAAAATAAAAAAAAACAAAAACAAAGAAAGTGCTAAGGGAACTCAGGATCAGAGAAATACAAAGCAGTAAGAACTACATGTAATTCAGCTGGAGTAGAGAGAAAAAATTAACTACATGTAAAAATAACAATTTCTAGTCATAATTGAATAAAACTGGACCAATAAATCACAACTACTAGTTCTCAAATTGATCTATAACAACATGTATAGATCAGATTTATGTATATATGTATGGCTGATTCTAATACTTTAATACGGCCAGTTTAAAATGTCAAGAGTCTCTAATTCTAACAGACAACAACTTTCAACACAATCTTTCTATAAAGGCTCCAGCTTCTAAAGGAAATACAAAGCACATTACTTCAACCACAATGAAACAAGTGTTAATGGATGGCAAGAACATGAATTTAAAAATCTGAGTCATGAACTACAACCATCTATCTGTACCTGTAAAGCATTCTGGTCTCTCATGGCTATTTCAAATGATGTGATTACCACGGGATGAATCTGCAGTGTCCCTTGTCTTTTGTGGATATTCTTTACCAATTTTCGACGTTCCTGCCGGGTTCCATGATACAACATAGTAGGAATCTATATTAATTCAGAATAAAATGAGTTGAAAAATAAAGAACAAATGACTTTCTAGAAGATAATTTTAGTTCTATTTCCCTATGACAAAATAAGTCAACTTAATAAATCATTTGGCTAACATAAGAGAAAATGGGGGGGAAAGCACCCCTAAACCCACAAAAACAAAACAGTTTATGAGACAGATGAGTAAGTTAATTCTGGAACATATTCTTCTCAAGTATTCTCACGGCAAGGACATAGACAAGATAGCATGTGTATGCAGTACTTGTGCTTAAAAACAAGCACTATAAACAACCTAGGCACTGGTAGTTAACCCCAGCACTCGGGAGGCAGAGGCGGGTAGGTCTCTGAGTTCAAGGTCAGTCTGGTCTACAAGAGCTAGTTACTTCCAGGACAGGCTCCAAAGCTACAGTGAATCCCAGTCTCAAAAAACCAAAAAAAAAAAAAAAAAAAAAGAAACAGAGGCAAAAAAATAGAAAGCTACAGTAAAACCCTATCTCAAAAAAACAAAAAAAAAAAAAAAAAAAAAAAACCCAACCAAACAAAAACAACCACTTATAAACAAGTGCAAAAACAAATCTTTTGCAATCCAGAACTCACTATTTAAAGAGCTGATACATACAAGAATGAATATCATTGGAGGGAGTGGGGAGATAACATGCATTTGGGTTTAAAAAAAAATGCCTGGAAGAATAAACATAAGGAAACTGGGGAAACAATTCAGCAGTTACAGTACTTGCTGCTCTTCCAGGACATGGCTTCCATCCCCAATTCCCACATTATGGCACACAAGTCTTTAATTCCAGTTCCAGGGGATTTGATGCCCTATACTGGCACAAGACACGCATGTGGTATACATTTAAAAATAATTTTAAAAATAAAAGGAATAGTCGAGGGGCTGGAGAGATGGCTCAGAGGTTAAGAGCATTGCCTGCTCTTCCAAAGGTCCTGAGTTCAATTCCCAGCAACCACATGGTGGCTCACAACCATCTATAATGAGGTCTGGTACCCTCTTCTGGCCTTCAGGCATACATATAGACAGAATATTGTATACATAATAAATAAATAAATATTTTTTTTAAACTTTATTATTCTTGCTATAGATTCTTCCTCCCTTTCAGCAAATAGTTGTCAATCGCCTGTGGCAATCACCATAGAGAAAGACAGGCAGAGCCTGACAAGGCTGATGCTAAATGGGAGGAGTAGTGATGGAGGAAGGTCATTGGTTAATTATAATAAACCAACTGCTTGGCCTCATAGCTTAGAACATAGGGGGGAGGAGAAAACAGAATAGGATGCTGGGCGGAAGAGGAAGTGAGATCAGACTCTGCTCTGCTCCCAGACAGACCCGACAACTCTGCTCTCTGGAGCAGAGACACCATG